GCTACTCGCGAAAAAATGAAGGAAAAGTAAAATTAAACACAGAAAAAAGCTGTTGCTTGGGGGAGCTCGCGACAAGGCTGCCATACTCGGCGCCATCTTGAATCACCTACTTCAAACCACTTCATTACATTTTCATCTTTCATCTGTCATTCTTAACATAGAAAATGCATTTACACACTCAGTCACATATCAATACAATTCACTTTGTTTCATTTAGCTTATGTATTTCTACTTCAGTTAGATTTGTGTTTAGCACATTTTCACATGAACATTCATTGTAACATCATCTCAGTGAGGCCTGAATCATTGTTATTCTATTTTCTGATTCATTATACTGGTTAACTTAAACATATTTACAACTAATTAACAATCAGTAAAACCACTTATAAATGATGGTTCCGTGTTTGACAGTTACAATCTTTTTTCTCTCCTTCTCCTCTTGCCTCTTACATGAATCCCATCATGCGTTCTCTTTCTCTGTGACCTTTTACACAGATAAACTAGGGCAAAGGTTGAATCATTCATTACTATGATTTACTCATCCACATACTGTACTTCATTCTACATTTCTATGGATTCATTTACATGCTTCATTGTAGCCTCTATATGCTTTCCTATATATAATTCTAGATGTTTTATTCCACTTTTTGTTTAAAGTGTGGTGAGGACATATCCTGATTAACATCGACTCCAAGATTTCCAAGAGTTAAATAGGAGAAAATTCACAAACAGGACCTGAAAAATATATGAGGCCCTTCAGCTGACCCACTTTTTACTATTGTGTCATCAAAAATGTTCTTGGTGGAAAGGTGGTTGACAAGAAACCATCCTTAAACAGGAGGAAATAGCTGGAGTCTGTATGTATCAATAGTAAAAGGTTTCATGGACTGATGAATCCAGATTGTACATTTTTGGTTGAAATTGTTCTATATTAGGACACACACACACACACACACACACACACACACACACACACACACACACACACACACACACACACACACACACACACACACACAGATAAGCAGAAGAGATGTGTGAATCTAACAACAATTTATGACCGTGTGTAAAGCTCTGCTTCAACACTGGCTGAGTGTTCTCCTTTCTAACTTTGCTGTGTCTTTATGTTGCAGTGTAAATGCCTTGAGCCAAGTGGCATCACAGCTTTAATGAATATAATATAATTGAATTAAATTAAATTTTTAATTATAATCTTTCTAAAATGGACCATGTTGCTGTAAATCTTTGGCTTTACAAAGAATTTATGGTTTATGTCACACTCAATAAGTTGCATTTATAGCCAGTGCTCATGTCAGTATAGAAGTAAATTTTATTTTTAAAATGGTAAAATATGCCTTTGATATAATCACAGTGAAATTTAGAACAGCCATCACTGCGAAGAAAAACATGATGCCATCACCCACTATGACCAAATCACTCACTCTTCCGCTTCATCACTTTCATCGCTCATCTGTTGTGATCATCTGAATATGTTTTTGAAGTAACTTGAGTCACTGCTTCACTCACGCCTCCTTCCCCCATCTCCCCATCCAACTCTGACTACCCTCCCCATCTACCTACCACCTCGTCCCCTCATCATCTCTGCTCTCTAACTGTGTACAACACTATACAGGGGGCTCATGGGTTAGACGGCAGACCAGGTGCAGTGGTGAGTGGTGCAAGTCACATTCCAATCCCTTTCTCTTTCTCCTCTTCTTCCTCCCTTCTACTCCCAACTATTGCCTGCTTGATGTCCTTAATGCCTGCTTGTTGTATACTGTATGCTTGCTTTGTTGCTACCCATGCTTGTCTTAATATTTTTCATTCTAAAGAAACTCTGTGAAGACAGGAGTGCACAGAGTTGGGTTTGGAGGATACAGTGGCACTGAGAACGTATTATCTATATGGTGATATATGGGAAGTAATTATTTGATCCCCTGCTGAATTTCTAATTTTGCTCACACAAATAAATGAACAGTCTCTTTTATTAAGACAATAAACAATAAACCTATATATGTAGCTAGATATATATGACTAATGATAGATAGTGCTGTGATTGGATGTTAATCTCCCTGCAGACCACATGACCATAAAATATGGCAGATGCCACCACAGAGTTACAGAAGGTCTTCGGGAGTTCCCTTGCAATCCAAAAGACTGGAGTCTTCAGATACAGTCTACTTTGTCAGTTTATTGGTCAGGTCAACACCCAAGTACTCATAAGAGTCCACTGTCTCAATCTTAATTCCCTGGATGTTCATTGCTATAGGTGTAAGATGTTTCTGCCTGCGAAGGCCCATCTCCAGCACAAACTGGAGGTGGTTTTCCCAGTGTTGAATAGACAGTTTTGCTGCATCAGCCAAAACAGTCCCCATCAGTTCTCTTTACTCTCAGTCATCAGAGAATTCTTGCTGGAAGTAATTGACCGAGTTTTAAGAGACATCTGTGCTGTATTGGGTGTGTGGGGTGCCTGTACAGACACACATGTCTGAAATCCTACGTACTGATGGACGCTGGTGAGATAGTTCAGGATCCATGTAGTGAGATGATGGTCCACACCTGTATACTCCAGCTAGTCTCTGCGAGTGTGGTCAGGGCAGGAGTGGTGTTCAAAGCACTGGAGAAATCAAAGAACATGATTCTCACAGGTTTCCCAGAGTTTTTCCTTCCCACTGTTGCCAAAATGCTTGTTCACAGGGTGTCATCTGATGGTTGGGGTGACTCTGTGTAGGGTCTTGCATTATTAAGCATGCTGAGTCGAGTGTTGTTGTGATTTGGTGCTATATAAATAGCACCAAACCAAGGGCAGCACGGTGGCACGGTGGTTAGCACTGTAGCTAATTCCAGCTTTTGTCTTTTCCCTGACGTCCTTTGAGAGCTTTGGTTTTGCCCATCATGGTGGAGAGGTTGATTCTGTGGACAGGTGTGGTTTCTACACATAAAGTGTTAAGATCAAAAGAGAATGAATGATTTATTGGAGTCAGAATTCAAATCAAATCATTTTATAATTTTGATGTAATGTGTTTTCTTCTGCATTTTTGGTTAATATTCGGTCTCTCTCCATTAAAATGAAACTACCATCATAATTAGAGGCTGTCCATTTCTATGTAAGTTACAAAAGTACAAAGTAGGGGATCAATTATTTATTTCCACCAACATAGTTAGATAGCGAGTTACTATAACTAAAAAGTTTTCTTCGTACTTTGTGTTGATAGTAAATTTCCCCTTAAATGGTGGTGTACATGTACAGCAGCAGAATTGAGTGTGTGCATTGTGACCATGAAAACTTGCAAATCTTCTCTGCCAAACAACTTAGTCTGCTGTTGAGCTTCTGGTACCCCGGGTGAAAGTCTGCTACCTAATTATTACTTGTCAATGACAAAACTGATCATTGACAATCATCCATCTGTTTTGAGTATTACCAACACAAATTACCTAGAACTGTTTGGTTACAATGACTCACCATCTTAGTATGTTCATCACAATTTTCCAAAAACATATCAATATTCTTTGTGTTCGTTTGCGTTTTAATTCTTTACACAATCAGCAATAAACCCTTACAATTTTAAGCCAACTTCACCCAATTCAAAACAGGCTTATTACAGATTCCTGGTTTCCTTCCTTTTAGTTTGCAAGTTTTTATGTTCAACATGTCTGCCTGCTTTCCTAGAGACATGAAATATGTATATTTCCTTATCAATTACTGTCCATCAAATCTCATAACCTCTGTTTTCACTCTGGTTTTTTTATTCAAAAAAAGATTTGAATAATGGCTTGTCTACAGGCAGTTGTGTAAGTTTCCAGAGTTGACAAAAGAAATTAGCCTGTGCATAAAGATGGACATACAAATGAAACTAATTTAGGCAATAGATGTTCAAATTGCTTTCAAAGTAAATTATCTATAGGAGGTAAGCTCTTTAACTGTATTACCATTATAAAAAGAAATAAAAAAATCTTGTTATTCAGTTTGTTTCTTGTAAAAAGGGAAACTCATCAATGACTCCTGCTAAGCTGATTAGGTATGAAGAAATTTCAATTATTTTTTCCCTATTTTAATTAAACTCCCTCAACTACTTTTCTAAGTATCAGTAACCTGAAAATTTAAACCATAAATCCATACGGTTATGAGATATAACCACATCTCATACAGGCCCAGCCACCACAAGCACCTGAGAGATCTTGGAATTTGAAGCTGTTTATGTGTTATGGCAAGTTGTTTTCCAGATCGTCTTAACTATTCCAAACTATTCAGTGTCTTGTAAGCGATTGCCAACAAAACAACTTGCCAGCTCGTATAGAATGCCATTATAGTGTCAGTACTCCAACTCTGATCATACCTTAACAGTTTCCTGCTTCCTGGCCCTCCTAGTACCAACGTCAGGCTGCAAAGCTGCCATTGCTGGAAAGTATGCAAATAAGCATGCAGGGATACCTGTGCTGCATGTTTAAATATCATAGTACACGTGGACAGCTGCATTACAGACAGGGGTGCACATGCTGGATATGCCTAAGATGCAAGATCTTCCTCTCCAATCTTGATTCATACTTAGACAGAAGGCTGCAACCTTGACATTTTATTCATTTTCCCTCGTTTAATACAGTTTGGACAGTAGTTCAACAAGCTTGGTATATGCTACAAGTACCAGCAGAAAATTACCTTGTAGAAATGTTCTGTTATCTCAGATTTGTGAAGAACTGGTTTAAATGCTCCAAGATACATTGTACCAGAAAGCTTGTTGATTTACTGATTTGAGGCATTTGATGATCCTGACTATTCTGTTTGTAGATCCTACTATTTACTTTCCTTAACATGTTTTAAAGGGTCTAGTAGGACCTGCAGGTGTGCCAGGGCCAGCAGGACCAAAGGGAGAGACAGTGAGTAACTTTTTTTTAATTCTAAAAGATGCATCGAGTTTAAGATCAGGCGGCATGTACAGGTGATGGTTTCTGTCACAACTACAGGGTGAAAAGGGTGATCCTGGAATTCCAGGACCAACAGGGCCGCAAGGCATCCCCGTAAGTCTGTGTGTGTGTGTGGGTGTGTGTTGGTGTTTTGTTTGGGGGGGGGGGGTGTTAACATTGGTAACATTTTAATTTGCATTTGCATCCTTCACAGCAATATGATTTACACATCAAAGGGTAGGGAGGCGAACTGTGCTGGTGAAAGATAAGATCAAGTACTATCCATACAGTACAATCCTAAAGAAGGCCATTTGTTCCTGCTATCAATGACACTGCAAGAGTTCAAGAAACAATTCATGCCAATGTTTGCATTTGTTACGCTTCAAACTCATGCGGCACCTACACACTGCTGTCACAAACACATCTACTGGGATTTCAGTTTTGTGTGGGACGATGCTTCAGTTTCATTTTCACTCACTGTTTGGTTAAATGTAAAGCTGTTTCAAAGCTGTTTAGTAAAGATATGGAAAAATGTTTGTGTGTATTAAAAGCGTATGGAATGAGTTTATTCCATATTAACACAGTGGCATCACTTTTTTATGGAGAGTACTGTATTTGGCAAAATAACAACAGTGATAAAAACATGTGTCCTTATTCCCCAAATGCAGTCATATGGCACAGTCCCCAATGTGACATCTGATTTCTTTTTACAGGGATTAGTAGGACCACAGGGACTCAAGGGAAATCAGGTAACATACTGTCTGCAGTGTTTGGCCTATTATAAAAATAAAGTAACTAACGTGATTGTGGCTGATCATCTGTGCACACACACGTGTAATTTCATTTATTAAGTAGTTTATGTTGGTAAATATTATTACCACAGTTGGCATTTACATCCACAAAATTATTGTTGAAATTTCTTTCTGAGAAACTCTGACAATGTTCTTTCTAATATATACAGATAATATCTGAATTTCAATAAATAAATGTTCTCTTTGATATTATGCATAAAAGTAAAGATCAGTGAGTCATAGTTTAGGCAAAATGTTTGGTTTGCAGGGGATTTGTTTTGAACCCAATGGTCACTTGGAGGCATCTCGATGTCAGGCTTACTGTTAAAACAGTCATAATCAATTTTAGTTCCAGTGCTAATGTTAAACTATTCTAACAATATCCTCAGTGACATCCTCTAAAGCACCTTTGTTTTTAGTGGAACTAAAGAGAAAAATCTGTTTTATGAATTAAAACATCATTGTGTGCTGGTCACATACCCACCCCTCAGAGAATGCCTGTTTCCTTCCCATTAACCTGTGACAATTAATATTTCCACTTCCATTTTGTTTTATCTTTGTGGGCTCTTTCAGCACATTCAACTGGCCACACTTCCAGTGTACACATACAGAAACCCAAACAATCCACCTAAATGTGAATATCCAGTTGAAAGTGTTGAAGCTGTGAGATTGTGTTGCTGTTTTTACTTTTTCCTATCTTCCTTTGTTTCCGCAGGTCTTCCTATCCCCTTTTCCTTCCCTTCACCTTGCTCTGTGGCCTGCAGCTCTTTTTATTGCTGGGATTGCCCTCTCTCCCTCTCACAAATTTTGGCCTTCTGTTCCTCCTCCTCCTGCATCCTAATGTAGTCTTGGGTTCCTTCTCTTACACTTACCTCTTAACTAGTCCTACTTAACAGTTGCTCTTCCTTGCAAGCATCATTTAAGTCCCTCCAGCCCCTGAACCTTTAACCTGTAACTCGTCAGTGTTCTCTCATCACTGTAAAATGTGTCTACTCATTAGATGCTAGCACAACAAGATGTTCGCATTTCTGGGTTCATCTTTGTTTTTTAAACAGCTTGTACAAATCTAACTGTGATCAGTCTAAACCTTACACCAAATATTACCAGTGTCTTTACTGCAGGTGCTAAAAAAATACTACATCTGAAATAAACTGCTAAAAGCCCAAGCACTGGGTTTAATGGTATCCAGATGAGACGACAGAAACAAAAAAGACCGCAGCAAAAGTCATTTTCTGCTTAAAGTTACAGCATGAAACTCTTATCTCTTAATCCCTGCCTTTAGGAGCAGACACAGGTGACACAAACATTGACCTGAAGGTCCTTCTTTACCTTAGAATCAAAGTAAAGACTTTTAAGGCCTTAAATGCCTTGAAGCAGCTTGATTTAAATTGGAGCTACATAAAACTGAATTGACCTGAATTGAATCCACTTGATGAAGTCACGTAATCATTTTGAAATAGCTGCATGCCAAAGTAGCACATATAATGCAATTAAATAATGAAGACAATGGATTGATGTTCTTTATTTTGATATATATGTTAATATTGAGAAAGCATCAATCTGTTATTCTTGGTCTAACAGGGTGATAGGTTTGTTTGTTAAAAATGGTGCAGGTTTTAAGTTTAACCAAATACTTTCCCCCCTCCTGGTGTTAGATTGCTTTTTAACACCTAAATGTAGACTTCAGTTTGTAAATTTAGTCGATTTTTCCCGTAAAAGACAAAATTATTTATCAGGAATTGTCCACGATGCAAGAAAATAAACTATGCATCAAAATCCAACAGTTTCCTGACCCATCATGTTACTGTGACAAGTTTAAATGTCACTGTAGGCTGTAGTTCAGGAGTTAGAGCAGATCATCTACTACATCTACATCTGGGCAAGACACTAACGCCAAGCTCTCTAATGCATCCTTGAGGGTAAGAATGTGTGTGAATGTTAGCTAGAAAGCACTTCAGTAGAAAAAAGTGCTTGTGTGAATGAGCCAAGCTGTGTAAGCTGTACGTGCACTGTTTCGTAGTGTGCATGTTGTCCCTGGTAGGAAACCTGCTCACCAACTGCAATGGCTTACTTTTTCCTGTTTCCTTCTACTCCCTCCCACTCTCTAGTGAATTTAGATCGCTAAATCATACAAAGAAAACTAGTGAATTAAAATGACGCTAAAATTTCTCATATCATCTGTTGCATATGTCAAAAAACAGCTATTGAAATCTTACAAACAAAAGCATTTGCTTCTACTGTGGTGTAGTAAGGAGGATTAAATTTGTTCTTTTTAATACACTGTTTGCAGGGAGAGAGGGGCAAGAAAGGCAACAGGGGGGCCAAAGGGGATAAGGGAGACCAAGGAGCACCTGGATTAGATGCCCCCTGTCCATTGGTATGTCAGTAGTTCTGTGTTTAGCCATGAGGCAAAGGGAAGAAGCAGCAAGTTACTCTCAGGACATTTCAGTTGGACAGCTTCCTTTTGCCTCATTTAATGTTTCTAATCAACCTCAGAGTGGTTTTGGTCCAGTGGTCCAGCTCTAGGTAATTTTGACAACACGACTAGAATCAATATACATCCTCAAATCCCTCATCCATTCAAAAAACCAAAGGAGGAAGTGTAGGACATTATAATAATATCACACTATCACACCATGCGCAACTATCACTGCTGGTAATAATCATTTTCATAATCATAGTCATAATAATATATCTGTATCTTTCAAGTGGCATAATAAGGAGCAGTAATACTACATAAATGATAAATTAGGCATTACTAATACCTTAGTAATGCTTAATAGTGTGACATTATTATAAAATACTACTGAAAAAGAAAGACATTCATGAGAACAAAGATGCTTGAGACTGGATCACAGCTATGATTGAGGAACTTTTCTTCCAGGTCCCAGACAGACAGGAAACAGGCAGCCACAGAGACACCAAAGTATTCCCACTCCACGCTGAGCTTTCTTCCTGCACCTTCACCTCTGCAGCTTTGTCTTCACCTCTGCAGCTTTGTAGTAAAGAAAGTTAGACAGTTCAGCATAGACTAGCTATAGGCAAGAGCTTCTAATACTAAATCAAAATCAATAGCATACCTACTGTCAGATTTCTCTCTGGTGTTATTTTATCCATTATGTCCATCAGCACTGTTGGCTCTGTTCTTCCAGCCATGGTGCACTGGTTGTTTTGAACAAGCAAAGCAATCAAAGACTGGGGAAGATGCTGATGGTCTGCTCTACTTGTACCAGTCAGATACTCTTAGTGAAATGTTAGAGAACATTAACCTCTGCATTAGAATCAGAGAAACCATTTCCTTGCAAGTCCATATCAGTGAGCTCGGTTCCTGTCAGTCTCAGGTTTCCTGCATGTTTAGGAAACTGAAGTCAGTGACATCGTGGAGAAACATCGAGATCTTCCTGCCATTAAGCAGTGGAGGGAAAACACTCTTCTGCTGCACGAGCTGCAAAACTCTTTTTTTAAATGGCTGATTTCACAAACAGGGTTTCCGAGGCATTAAAGGGGAAAAAGGTGAACCGGGCTTGCCAGGCCTAGACGGGCTGGATGCCCCTTGCCCTGTGGTATGGTGCTCTTTCTTTCCCTTTACTAGCATGCCTTTAGCTACCCTTAACCACACTCCTCTTTATGGATCCTACAGTGCATCGCTGTAAACAACAATATGCACTTTTGCATGATAGTTTAAATTTATTGTAATCAACTCACTGCTTCCTCTACAATATGGTGAGACAACATAACATAATCAAGAGTGATTATAACGACTAAAAACCTTTGAAACATAACATCACGTACAATTGTGACTAATATACCAACCTCGGATCTAAAACCTTCACAGTGTTATTTTCAAATATAGTAATGCCTTTAGTCATGGTTTCTTACACTGTTTCTTGCATGGGGCACTATTCTTCCCTATCTACAAGGCAATAGACTACCACAGGGAGTGAAAACCAGCCACAGGGGCCAGTAGCCACCATGTGCTATTTCCAAGCCCGGATACATGGGCAGGGTTGCATCAGAAAGGCATCCATTCTTTATGATCCACAAACATGTGGATTTAGTGTGTCCTCTACACAGGAGACTTGTTGATGGAATATAATCCTGGCTTAATTTTCATTTTCTAAAATATTTAAAAGTAGAATGGGAGGCAATGCCTTCAAATTTCAGACCCCTCTTCTGTGGAACCAGCTCCCAGATTGGATTCGGGAGACAGAGAGGATATAGTAAGGGCTTTCTTACACTGCAATGGGTCTAGACTACTTCCCATGATGCATGGAGTGTTTCAGTGTTTCTTGTTATCTCACCTTTTTCACTCTCTATGTGCTCACACACCGCTCTCCATCTAATTATTAGTTCTTATTAATCTCTGGCTGTCTTTCCCATCGTGTCTTATTTCTTTCCTGTCACCCCCAACTGATCCCGGCAGATGGCCGCCCCTCCCTGAGCCTGGTTCTACTGAAGGTTTCTTCCTGTTAAAAGGGAGTTTTTCCTTCCCACTGTCAACAAGTTCTTTCTAAAAGGGGGTTGTTTGATATTTGGGGTTTTCTATTATTGTAGGGTCTCTATCTTACAACCCTAAGTCCCTTGGGGTGACTGCTGGTGATGAGGTTCAGAACTGAATTGAATTAAATACAGGATAGTATTCAAGGGATAGGTTCAAGGTAGGGGTGAGATCATCAGTGATGGGCTCTGAGCCGCTTGTTATTTGCAGTGGTGATGGAAAGGTTGACAGGTGAGCAGGCAGGAGTCTGTCTCTGACTGTGATGATTGTAGACATGATCTACAGTGAGAGGAAGGATTTATTCACTGGAGGGAAAATACATGAATTCTCTAGTACTAAGTTGAAGTCCATGTATGTGAATGAGGGGAGACGGGTGAAAAAGAGTAAAGAAAAGAGATTTGCTAATCTGTTTATTTAATGTAGTCATGAATCTGTTAATCTGTAAAGCAAACTGATTAGGTCTTCTTGATTGCCTTTCCACAGGTAAGGCTTAGACTTTATTATAAAATCTACAGGGTGAGCCAGTTATATGGATACACCGTAATAACATGGGAATGGTTGGTAATATTAACTCATTCACTGCCATTGACGTCTATAGCCGTCAATTGCAGTGAATGAGTCAATGGGTTTAACTCATTCACTGACGATGGCTGGCAGTGAATGAGTTAAAGTCCTGTTTGTGGCACATTAGTATACAGTGGGGCAAAAAAGTATTTAGTCAGCCACCGATTGTGCAAGTTCCCCCACTTAAAATGATGACAGAG